TTTAGAGCATTTTTAAAGTCTTGAATTTATACTTGTATCTAATTTATCTTACTTTGAAAATCCTGATTCCTAATAATAGGAACATAATTATTTATTTGCATTACTCTTATTTGTATTACTCTACTATATACGTATATATTTATTTCAAAATTGTATCAATATCACTAACAATTAAACTACTGAAGATTAAAAAGAAGGAAAAGACCACCTATAATTATACAACTCAGATACATTTTGAGGAATTCTCTTTATACTTTTCTACATTTGCTCATTTTCATCAATGAATATTTATAATTTTAATAATGAAAAGAATTTTTGTAATATATGAAAAAAATGGAGATGAGTTGAATAAATGCATTTATACACTCAGAACTTAATACATGAAAATATATAATACAAATGTACATAATACACAAATTATAATATACAAGAACTAAACAAAGTAATTTCAGATCTACTATTCTCATTTGATGAAGATCATTTGAAAAAATATAAAGAACCATTGCTACAAGGCTGCTGCAAGCTTATTAGGCTAATGACTATTAGTTTGTTAATTACTACAAAGCCAAAGACAAGGGGAAAAACTACGGGAACACAGGAAATACTGTTAAGTTAGCCTAAGAATGTTTATAGATACTGCAGATATGAACAGATAATGTAAATTTTAGTGAAAGGGAAAGCTGAAAAGACCAATAAGGACAAAAATTTTAAAAACAAAACAAAACAAAACAATGCTCTTACCTAACATTTAAGAATGTTAGAGCTTGCAGGTTTAGAACTGCCTCTGGTATATACCGAATACAATTTTGGTACAAGTTGAGATTCTCAAGAGAAACAAAGTGACATGCTTCTATGGGAATTTCTGAGAGACGATTTCGAGACAGATCTGAAAGAAAAAAATAAACTGAGTTTAAAGTCAATCCTAGGAACTGATTTTATTGAAATGTTAAGTAAGCATATTTTGTGACTGATTGAATTCCTGAGGTCCTATTGTGGAGACTGGTCCAAGGAACACATTTAAACATTTATTAATTGATTGAGAGAACTATTTTAACATAGGCCTCTACACCTGTTGATAGAAATGCTGATTCCTTCTGAGTCTCCACATATACTAAAAATAAGACCATTATTCTTTGCAATCAACACAAATTCTGAAGCATATCTGCTTACAAAAGATCACCCTAAGTACCAAATAACCTAAGAAAGAAATGAATACCTAAGATCCACTTTCCTAAAAACACAGACAACATTGATGATTTTAGCAAAGCAAAGAGCAACAGAACAAAAAAATTCTGCCCCTTCTTTACTGAAGATTATCAGGGTCATGTCAAAATAGGTTAGGAGCTATCTTTGCTCCCAATGACCAAAGACAAGACCATCTGAGCAACAGAAACAATTGCAATGGATTGAAATCTATCACATACATTGAATTAATTATACGAATTTATTACACCTCCCCCATCCCAAAAAAGATGAACCAATTCACTATCTTAAAACAGAAAGACTCTATATGTAACATAATACTCAATATATTTTGCATTTTTAAAAGGGTCACGTTATTTGTGACAGATGTAGTTCACTGCCCTTTGAATATCGAATGCTCTTTTCTCCTTTCATACTATTAAATTATGTTCAAAATAGTAAAGTGCTCAGCTAGAACACCGACTAATACTTCCAATTTCATTCATCTTTAAAGATCAAAACAAAGAAATACAGACATACAAAATTTAACCACATCTGAGTTGGTGACTAAACTGATGGAGGAAATTCTCATGTATAGGCGTATCTTGAGTTTGTATGTAAATTGAATGCTTCAAAATTACCTCATGTTTTTCCATAGAAGGGAAAAAAGACTTCTTAGCTTTTGAGAACTAATTCTACATACACAATGCCACTGAAATACACAATTTGCAAATATATTACTTTTTTTAAATTTCCTATCTCCAGTACATAATGCTTTTGTCCAACCAGTTGCTTAAGTCAAAATTCTGGAATCATCCTGTCACTTTTCGTTTTCCCAATCTAATCTAACAACACAGTCAGTTTCTTGGTCCAAGTATATCTTGAATCCATCCAGTTCTCCATCTCCTCTGTCATTGCCTCTTGCCATTATCCAAAGAATCAAATCAAATAATGCATGGAAAATTACTTCACATACTATAAATGCAGATAGGCACACATACAGCCAGCTTTATGAGGTTGACAGCAACACAGCAAAAACAAAAAAATATAAAACTCCCAAAATTATAGGATATTGTACCATGCAATAACATACAGCTGAGTACAGTTTATATCTTTGGTCACCAAAAATAAGTAATATTGCATTCAGTATACTCCACTTTTAGAAGGCAGAAAAATGCAGAGAACATTTATTGTAAACGATTTACATTAGAATACTTAAAAGTTTGCTTATCTTTCAGTGAGATAAAAAGAGAGAGGTTACTGTATCTCTGTGGCACTACCATAACCTTTGGATTTCACAAATATAGATCGGACTATTTATGTGACACAGTCTTCCGAAACTATCTCTGGATCAGCGTAATCAATCCTAAATTGTTTTCCACCCAGCAATCTTAAATGAGACCTGTGAAGTATTGTAAAAGGCCACAAACTGCATAATACATGATTCTGCACCTAAGCTACAAAGTTACTTCTATGTATCATATCCTGAATGTGGCCTTGATCTTTCACAAGCCATTATCTTTCCTGCTAATGCTAGTAATATGAGCCAATAACTACACCTTCTTTGGAACAGCCACTGGATGCATTATTCAGTTAAGCAAAGCAGAAAAAGCCAATTTTGGCCTGAGAAAAACATGAGAAAATTTTTGGCTGAGGGATACATCATGGAAGTTTCAATTAACTGAAAGAAATACATCAATGAAAAAAGTTTTAAGGCATTTCATTTGCAATCAAATGCCTAATTATTTTCCTTTTTTTCAAATATTTTACCCTCAAAGTCAAATTCATCTGAAAGATACTCTTAAGTTTTAAAATAACAAGCTAAAGAAAAAAGCCTAAAAAAAGCAAAAAGAATCTTTAATATTAGTGGGAGATACATAAGAATGAGCACTCCATAATCACACAGCCAATATTTAATGAGTTGATATGTTGTGAGGGTAGGGACTATATCTGTTTTGTTCAATTTTGTATGCCTGGAATTTTGCAGTGTCATCATAGTACATAGCACATAGGTGCTTGATAAAATATTTGTTTAAAAATATGGGCAAACAAATGGATGAAACAAAAACTGTGGACTCAGAAATAAGATTTTTCTGTCCTCTACCTTTATAGCTTCATCTAAAGTAAGACTTAACATAATTAACATACTGAAAAAGGACCAAATCGTAATTTACCTTTATGATTTTTTAGGAAGTACTATAAAACCTGGATTGAAAAGAATTTATTTCCAAAAAATTAAGTACTTACATAAAATGAATCAAATCCGACTACTGAGGGAAAGACTACTATGTGTATCAAACTATAGTTAGTTATTTTATAGTTAAAAGAAAAAAATGAGATAGGTTACAACCATAAAAAAAGAATGCTGTAGGTATAAAAAATAATGACTTTGGAAATTTTTTCTATTCTGAAGTATACAGTGTTTTTCACTTATGAAATTTCCTTTCCTATTTAAAAAAATACATACATACTGACTTACTGACCTATTTGCTGCATGAACTCACAGATTTTCATTTTATCCAATGGTTTATAATCCATTATAACCCAGCTGATAAAGAAATTTCTCTTTAGGCCAACTCCTGGATCTTTTTTATATGCCCTCTTTTTTTTTTTTTTTGTATTTCCTTATATTCTGGGACAAGAAGTTCTAGGCTTATCTTCCAACCTCTGAGCCCCAGTTCTGGAATCACCTATTTTTCACCCTCGTGTAACAGAAACTTCTATGGCAAGTAGATTTGGGAGATGATAGTGGAGGGCAGAAGGGAAAGCCACCAGTCTGAAGGAACGTTTCAAAATAAATAACTTGGTTTTTTGAAAGCCACTACGCTTTATAGTTGTCAGCTTCACAACAATAGAAAAACAAAACAGAAATTGGTACCTGGAAGCAAAATGGTACTGTTCAAAAACCTGAAACATCTGGCTTTGGCTTAAAATTAGGCAGTGGCCCTAAGAGGCCTGACAGAAGCCCCCAACCATCACTCTCTTTTAGCCACCTTAACAGAAGTGAGTATATCACGTTAGTGAAATAATTATATTCTTTTTCTGGACTTTGTGACCTTCAAAGTCTCAAACAGAAATAGAAAGTTAGAAATTTGGCTGGGAGGGAAATGCCATGATAGTTGAAAAAATGTTTAGTGGCGGCTGAAGGACAGTGAAAAAATGCTATTCAAGGTTGGAGAAAAGGGCATCCTACTTCTGCTCTGGTAGAACAATTAAAAAACTATAACCTGTGATACATGATAGGTAGAAAGGGTACCTAACAGGTTTAAGTCACCAACAAGACATGTGGCTATTTGCAATGAAACATGTCAGTTGGAAGTTAAACATATGACAACAAAGATCATAAGTACTAATCTTAAATGTTAATAATCACAAAGGTGTGCATACATTTACATATCCATTCACACACATATTCTTTTAATTTTCTATCTAATTTTCTCCCCACACTTTTTTTTATTTTGTTATGATTAATCTACAATTACATGAAGAACATTATGTTTACTAGGCTCTCCCCTACCCGAGGTGCCCCCAACACACCCCATTACACTCACTGTTCATCAGCATAGTAAGATGTTGTCGAATCACTACTTGTCTTCTCTGTGTTCCAAAGCCCTCCCCTTTCCCCCAAACCCCACTATGCATGCTAATCATTATACCCCCTTTCTTCTTCCCTGCCCTTATCCCTCCCAACCCTCCCATTCTCCCCAGTCACTTTCCCTTTGGTAACTCTTAGTCCATTCTTGGGTTCTGTGATTCTGCTGCTGTTTTGTTCCTTCAGTTTTGCTTTTGTTCTTATAGTCCACAGATGAGTGAAATCATTTGGTATTTGTCTTTCTCCGCTTGGCTTATTTCACTGAGCATAATGCCCTCTAGCTCCATACATGCTGTTGCAAATTGTAGGATTTGTTTTCTTCTTATGGCTGAATAATATTCCATTGTGTATATGTACCACATCTTCTTCAGCCATTCATCTACTGATGGACACTTCGGTTGCTTCCATTTCTTGGCTATTGTAAATAGTGCTGCGATAAACAGGGGTGCATCTGTCTTTTTCAAA